TGGTAGGAATCACTCCCAGTCCCTGTAGGTGTCTGTGAAGATCTTCAACATTTGTTTGAGGGTCCCGTTGAATCATTCACAGAGACCATTAGTCTGAGGGTGATATGGGGAACCGAACAAGGGCTTAATATCACAGGCTTCCCATAAATGGCAGGTTAAGTCTGCGGTAAACTGAGTGCCTTGGTCAGATATTATTTCCTTTGGGAACCCTACCCTGATGAATATCCCAACAAGGGCACTGGCAACAGTATCGGCCTGGATATTCACGAGGGCTACTGCTTCTGGGAATCTGGTGGCATAGTCCACCACGGTAAGAATATATTGTTTACCGGATTGACTAGACCTCTTGAGGGGTCCTACTAGATCGACTGCTATCCGACTAAATGGCTCCCCAATAATCTGCATGGATAGCAGTTGAGCTTTGGGATGGTCCCCCTCTTCCCTACCCTTTGGCAGGTATCACAGGTCCTAAAGTAATGTCATACATCCTTGGAGACCCCTGGCCAGAAAAAGTGCTGAGTTATTCTACCGCCTGTGTGAGATACTCCCAGCTAGTGGGATGTCGTGCCCAATTCACATAAGTGCCAACCGGTATTTCCGTGGTACTACCAGCTGTCGTTTCTGTGAAGGGACTGTCTAGTGGTTGCGGGTGGCAGTCACCCGATATAACCTGCCTTGCTCCCATATAAATCTCTCTCCCTCTAATGCCCCTGCCCCGTCTCTGCTTTATCCCTGTACTTAGTAAGTGAGGGGTCTATCTTGGTTTCTCTCTCAAACTCCTTAGGGTTGTCCCAGGATACTGTCTCAGTCATATCGTCAGTATGTCTTACCTGGGTCTCCCTGACCGGAAGATTGGAGTCGACAGCTCGAGCTTGAGATCGGGTGGTAACGGGGTTAATGCTGGCTGGCCCAGTAGGAGCATATGCAGAAGTCAATGGTCCCAGATCATTCCCCAATAGTAATTTTGCAGGCAAGTTGTCCATGAGACCCACATTCACCATGCCAGACCCGGCTCCCCAGTTAAGATGTAATCGGGCAGTGGGGAGGCGGAACACAGATCCCCCAGACACCCTAACTGCAACAGTGCGTCCAGTGCAATCATTGTTGTTAAGTAAATGCCGCTGGAGCAAGGTTAGTGTGGCCCCCGTGTCTCGTAGCCCTTGTGCGGGTCGTCCATTGACCAGCACCTCCTGGCGATTATGTTGTCTGATGTCTTGGGTGGCTGCTTGTACGGAATCAGCTTCATAGAGTACCCCCAGGTACGGGTTGGGGTGCTGGTTGGGATTGCCTCCATGTGGGCAGTGGTGTATCCTGGTTTTGTGCTGCCCTAGGCAAGACAAAACTCAGATGCCCCCCCCCACCCAACCCTTCCCCCCTGCCCCGCCTTCTACATACACACACATACACATTCACTGACAGATACGCATACACTAGCTAACAGAAACACACACTCGCTAACAGAAACACGCACACTAACCGACACACACACACTAACAGACACACACAGTCAGACACACACTAACAGACATACACACACTCACACTAATTTTTTTTTTTATTTAACCCCCCCCAGCCTCCTTACCTTTTGGAATGCTGGGGGGGTTCTCCCTCTCCCTGGGGGTCCAGTGGCTGCTGGGCGGTCGGTCAGGCAGTGCTGGCGAGGGAGCACTTTTCCCTGAGCACTCTGCTCAGCTCCCTCGCGCGCCGCAGAGTGATGCCGGGAGCCGGAATATGACGTCATTTTCCGGCTCCCGGCATCACTCTGCGGCGCACGAGGGAGCTGAGCAGAGAGCTCAGGGGAAAGTGCTTCCTCGCCGCCCGCCTGCCTGGCTTGTCAGTTAGCCGCAAGGCTAACAAGACATTTGCCCTGGGCATTTTGGGGTGGCTTTTTTTGCAGCCCTCTGGAAAATGCCGCCCAAGGCAAATGCCTTGTTTGTCTCACGGCTAAAACGTCCCTGCATGTGGGTCTGGGAGGCTCTAGGGGGCAGTCACTGCGGTAATGTCAAACAGTGAATAGTAACAGTATCCCAGTGAGGATTATCCAAAAGACTTACCTTCAAACTGTAAGGTCTTGATTTTATTTATTTTGTTTAACAGTTACTTGTGCACTTTTAATAAGGCACTTTATACTTATACTCACCTTTGAGAGGACATCCTATTACTTGAAACCTCCTGGCAGTATAAAGATGGGAGTGGGAACCTTGATATCCCACAGAGCTGGAAGTCTGAGCCTTATCCATAGTCTCCCTATTTGTGAGTGATATTCCATCCACTTTTTGCACTTTAAGATTTTATACAGGCGTTATTGCACTATTATGTGTCCTATTTTGTTTTATCTCTAGGAATATTTAATATTGTCAGCTATTCAAATAAGAAGATACTCCACCTTATACTGTATGTATACTGCAGTAATGTCCCCATTGGTTACAACGGTGGCACCTCACCCATGGTTGGTTCTGGTCCTGTGCTGTTCTAGGTGGCCCAGAGTAACGTGTTGGTGCTGGAGCCACTGGCGTTCATAATTTCCATGAGTCGGGCGTCGGGCATCGGTGTACTCGTCAGCCAGACGAGCCGCTTCAGGTATGGTCAGGGGCCTCCGGTCCCGCACCCACTCTCTCAAGTCAGGTTGTAATGCGTTGAGAAAATGTTCTAGGAGAAACAGCTGCAATACATCTTCAGCGGTCATGGCTTGGCATCCATTGACCCAGTGCAATGCTGTACGTTGCAAGCGACATGCCCACTGCATGTAGGAATCTCCCCTTTCTTCTTGGACTCCCAAAATCGGCATCGATAGACTTTGGGGGTAACAGCATACCGGGCTAGCAGAGCCTCTTAAACAATGTGGTATTGTTGTATGTCTGCAGTAGGGATAGCATGGAAAGCATCAGCTAATTTTCCCCGACAGGATGGTAACCCATTCCTCAGTGGCTACCCGGTGCAAGGCACATTGCCATTCGAAATTGGCCAGAAATCTGTCAATTCCTTGTCATTTTATTGGAACTGTTTGAATGCTGCAAGTGGAATCTTTTTCCCCTCTGGGGGACCCAGGCTTGGGGACACAGGAGCGCTGACAGGTTGCTGGGCTACGTCTTGGTGTAGCGGATCTTCCCTGCCCCTACTTGCCTCTGCTTCGACTGTGGCGAAGATTTAGTGATGAGTTCCTCGGAGGGGTTCGGGCCATATACTGCCAATCTTTTCTGAACAGCTTGGATGAGTTCTTCCTCTCCATCCCTTGGCACATTGGTTTCGGTCATAGCTGCTGAATGATCCATTTCGACTAACTTAGCTATCAGTTCCCATCGTGGGCGGTTGCTAGTGGGCCTCCCTCGGCTCTCTAGTGAGTCCTTCAGAATCAGCCTTTTCAATTTATCATACTGACTCTCCATCAGGGTAGAAAGGACCATCCCACCGCTTGCCACCAATTGTAGCGGTCCCCCAAGTAGAAGAAGGATTTTTACCACCAGATACCTCCGTTTCCTAGGAGTGAGAGGTGCTGTAGAGATCCCAGAGTCATCCGTAAGA